GGAAAGCCTACTGTGGGACTTACTTGGTCCTTGAGCAGGAGAGCCAGCTGCAGTATTGACTGGAGTCAACAGAGGTTTCTAAAGCTCATAGGATATTCTTTGACTATCTTTTCCTTGGTCTGCTGTATTTATTATTTTTTTTTTAATGGGCTGTTCTAAAGGCTTGTTCTACTAATATTTAGGGACCTGATTTTCAAAAATCCCTAGTATTACCAGCTTATTCTCAGATACCCAAAGCCATATATCAGTTTGACACACCGTGGAACTTTATCTGCCTTTTACTTGCAAACACCTAAGTAAATAGCCTCCCACTGTTCATTGTCTTCTGTGATGCTATCCCTGAGTGTTTCCATCTGACATTGTCTGAAGGAACTGAAATAATACAGATATACTTGAGGAAGCTCATCTTTTCAGTCACAGAATTGCCACCAATGTGTTTGTGCTGACGGTTAGTCCGAATGGGAGTCAGCCCACAGTCAGCTGTTTCTCTTAGCTTTGGATTTGATCTATTCATGTCTCCAGCTGCCCTGATGATAAGTACAAACTAACTTGCTAATATAATAGAAGTTAATAAATAAAAATCAGCTTCTTCAGAGTCTTAATGTAAATCACTATTTTTATTATTTTCTGGTTTTCCTTGAAGATGTAAACTGGATGTGCTGACTTTTCATTATCAAAATTCAGTAAGCAGTATCTAGAAACCGAATCCTCTGTTTCATTTCAAGTCTGTTTTTTGGCATATTTCTGCCTTTGGTGTGTTAAGGAGACACACAGTTTGCATGGAGAAAACTTTTTAATGTTTCAAACCAGATGAGATAGACAGTTAGAGGATGACTTTTTTCTTTTGGTGCTGATTTTCCTTTTCAGGGAGCTCATTCCCACTTCCACATCATTCTGTCAGTCAGGCTAGCGTGACTGTGCAGCTGCATGGTCAATTGCATCAGGAAAGTAATCTGGACAAAAACAATCCAGAAAGGGCAAAAGCAAAACCAGTAAACACCAAAGAAATCTGTTATTTTAAACTCTGAACAGTTCTTATGGAGGAAACGTCAGGAAGCTGAAATAAATGCTTATGAACTTATGACTATGGCTGGAAAATGTATATGGGCATTCTGTCTGGAAGGCACTTTGCTCAGTCTGAGAGGGCACCAGGTCCAGACTAAACAGGTTAAAGCCAATTGCTCCTGCATAATTGGATTATGTGATAAATTAGGGCACTTGTGGAGCAGAGGCAGGTCTTAGGAGGGAGAGAGGAGACAGGCTATTATGGAAAAGAAGGAAAAAAAATCATCAGTTTTTGTGGAATTAGGACAAGCTGTTGCTGCAGGTGTGGCTATAAGTTAGTGTAGTCCAAAAGCTGATACTCCTATCAACGTTGCGTGTGTATTCAGCACCTTAAAATTGCTTATGTAGCATATAGTCCCTGCATTCGTTACAATTATGCTGCTTTGACATAGCAAACCTCTTCATACAGAGGGAAAAATTACTGGAACAAAATTTATACCTAGTGACATTCTTTTAGACTTCCCTACTAGTTCAATGTGTAGAGAATCAGTTTTGGTTTTGTTTCATAAAACAGTGGATTTTGTTAGTAAAAATCAGTGTGATGAGCAGACTCGTGTTAAGAAGCACCATCCTCCATATTGTTAAATTTTGTAAAAGAGACTGATTCTTGTCAGTTGTTGAAAGCATCTAGTCCAAATTCATTGTCTACATTTCCTCTGAAGTTAAAGGGAGAAAGAGATGAAGACCTTCAGGGTGCTTTTCTATCCCAGCTGGTTTAGGATGAGGTAAATTGCTTTCCGAAGATGCTAGCATCTCTTGGTTTATCAGAGGGAGCATAGGTCTAAGTATGCACTAAGTGTTTTCTTTTCAGATAGCTAAAGTTGTGGGAGGTGAATCCCACAGAACATTTAATTTGTTAAGATCACTGTGTGGGCTGTGACCTAAACATTATGGTTTATATTTCTTGTACAACTCTTAGTTATATTTTAGCATAGCTGTTATAATCAGGTAGTCTTTGTGGCTATATAAACAACCAGCTCTTGAATCCCGCTAAGCCCTGGGCTCCTGTGCATGGCACGCACTTATGAATTCAATAAGCTAACTGAACTGTTTGTAAAACAAGTACTTTCTTCTATTTGCTTGTGAAACTGCTCAGATTAATTAGATGTCCCCTTGTTCTTGCATGAGGAGACAGAGACAGAGCCCATGTTATTATTCTTTCTTTCAAGTCAAATCATACAAATCTTTTTGAAGTTTCTTTCTCTGGTATCTTCTTTAAGAGTCCTTCTCTTGTCTGCCAGAGTGTAACTATGCTGGGATTATGCTAAGAAACAAGTGTTACAAGCTTGAAGAGTACAACAGATTTGTATAAGGTTTGGAATATTTTTCCTGTTACTTTCCATCCTCTTTCTTATGTATGCAAACAAGGTGTTTGCTGTTTTGCTCACTGATACCCACTGAGCAAATGTTTTCCTTGAGCTTTCCATATGGATGCACAGGTCTGACTTTTGTTTTGTTTTTCCCAAACTGGTAACAGTTCACTCTAATCCTAGCAGTGAGTTGTTCAAATTAATCCCTTTTGTGTGCATTGCTTTGCCATTTGTCAACTTCTAATTTAATCTGTTCCTGATGTTGAGTCACTAGGAGCTCCCATGCATGAAGCAGTAGATACTAAAGAGATATTAAAATATGAGGCAAAGAATGACAAAAACTGCTAGAGGAATGCCAGTTTAAGTCCTCAAGAGAACATGGTAAAGTCTTGTGTTTGATTTGTTTTCTGTGTTGGACAAAACTTAGCACAGTTCTGATTCCCTTTCATTGGGTATTTATCTTAATAACATACACATCAGAAGACTACATTCATTCTGCCTTTTGACAGCTTTCAGACCTTCTGCTGTCCTGAGCTACCAAGGATAAGCCAACTTCTGGATTTGACTCACCTTAAGCCCTGTTCTGCCTTCTGCACCAGTTTTTTCAAGTGTCTTCAAACCAGCTGGGGGCTCTTGGCAGCACAACATACTGTAGTTTTGCTGAGATTTAGTGATTCATGGATGTTTAAAGAGTACATTGGGCCACTTTGCTGAGAGCACAGATTAGAGCAGCTTTATTAGCAAACAGTGTGGTTCAGGTTAACAGAGGACTGAGAAATTTCACAGAACAATATATCTATGTTTACAGTGAAATTCACCTATTATAACATGAAAATCCAAATTAGATCTTAAGATGAAACAGTGATATTTTGTTTATGGCATCTTTCACCATTCATATCTGCCTTCAGTTCTGATATTTTATTCCTACAGGACGACACAGAAGTTATTTTTCCCACATCCCATATGTCCAAATCATGTAAAAAGATATTTAGCTCAAATACCATGCATGCAAAACATTCCACTCTGTGGGTATGAGGTGACGTTTGGTGTGTCTTTAACATGCTGTGGTGTTCAATTACAATACAGCAAATTTATTTTTGTGCAGCCTTCTTCATAGAAAGTATGGAAGATTGCTTTGCAGTGAGTCATCTGTCAGCTAAAGAACTAAAAGTCTTGTAGTGATATTTAAAGAGAAAAAGTGGCTCAGAGCTGACAGAGTTCAAGACAGAAAAAGAAACAGAAACGAAACAGAGGGCCTCCAACCATGGAGAAAATAGAGGCAAAGACTGATAGGGGGAGGAGTGATGAGAAAACCAAACAAACCGATAATGTCAGAGGCAGTTCAGGAGATTTTGCATATCATTTGGAAACAAACATTGGGCTTCATGTATCTCTCCTGCTCTGTGTCAAACAAAGATTCTTTGACCGTAAGGGAATGGCGTAAAACTAGGTAAATAAGGGATTGGCATAAAACCAGATAAATAAGAGCACAGGGCTCAGAGCACTTTGAGGAATTTAGAAACATGCAGGTAGAGGCTAAGGAAAGGATAAATGGCTTAACTTCCTAGAGCAAGACTTTAGAGCAACACTGGCATTTTGCGCTCCATGATTGTTTAAATGTCTGAGGAGTTTGATAGGTTGTGAAAGAGGGTATTTCAGTTAATCAGGCAGGAATATGGACTTCAGCAGCACTGCAGTAAAGGGAAGATGGATTCTGGCAGTCTTCCCTTGCTAATGCCAGGAGGGTTTACACTTAGAAGTGAGCGTGTGGGAGGGGCAGCCATTTCAAGGTCAGAGAAGACTTCAGAACTCTGGCTCTGTGTACAGGGATAAGATCTGAGTAAAGAAGCATGAAAGCTGTCTTCAAGAGCAGGAGGGACTTCTTTCCCATGACATTTGAGCCTTTTGAAGAATTAGCTAGGAAGGAAATTATAATGTAGCAAGGGAATGACAGGACCAAGACAGGCTGTTAAGGAGATCAGAGATTACTTGCCAAGGTCACTGATGCCTTGCATGCTTTCCCCATAAAGTTGATGTCCAAAGCTAAGCTAGCATTAAGATATCCCAAAGGAGGAAGATGTTTAAGGAGGAGAAAGTAGAAGAATCAGAAACATGTCTCGTGTTTTTAAGGCACAGCACTATCGTAGAGGGATATAGTAGATATAAACGCTGTCATCTTTTATTGTGAATCATATGCATTCTTCTTGCATTCTTGGTCAAGTCTACCAATTAGTGTTGTGGGGCTCTTGAGGCAGCTCCGTCATTCCATGTGCCTCAGCTTGCCTGTACTGTTTTTTGTCCTGGCAGTTCTTTTGACCTCACTCTCTGTACAGAGCTTTATTTTCTGCCTTGAGAAAGTAAATGCGATGTCAAGTATGTAGCATGAAGGACAGTACAGTCTTTATCGAAAGCAGAAGGGAGAAGAACTTGACTTCTTACTCAATGCATTCATAAAAGTTGGCTTTGACACTGTAGTACTAAAAGGCATTCCAAGCATAAAAATAAGGTTAGAGCCACTCCAACGTCACAGAATTTGAAGGGAGTAATATTTCATTGTATGCAGTTCTAAAATGCTTATTACAGATCTTCTTATTTACAAATATCATGTCTCTTTTAAATCTGCAGAGGAGGAATATCAAGGACAAACCAAGAGAAAGCGCATTCGAAGGAAGAAACAAAAGAGCAGCTTACAAAACTCTAATAATTTACGTGGAGAACAAACAGATTCTGGAATGCAAGAGACTCTTGTTCGAGATAATTTACAGCTGCAGCAGACAGACAGTCCCAAAATAAGCAAAAACAAAAAGAGGAAAATGAAAAAGAAGCGACAGAAAGAAAAAATGAGAGCAGCTGGCTTGGTAACAAAAACTACCGGTGTGGATTTTACTTATCAGCCAGACAAAAACAACAGAGAAGAAGCAGCAGGCTTAAAAGACATGGTTGAAAAGACAGATAGTATTCTGGACTTCCTGCAGGCAACACAACAAATTTATTTTGCTGACAGTATGTACCACTCTTTCTCTTTATTACCACGTAGGGGAAAATAGATGTGCAGTTATTGTTGCTGTAGAATGGGGCAGATCTAATAGAGAAATGTCCCTTTTGAGCTTGGTAAGACATGCAAGTACTTCGTATTCATCCTGTTTTTTGGTGTGTACATGAATATGTAAGAATCCACATCAATATGAAAAACAGTGGTCATAATCTCTTTGTTTCTCTGTCTTTGAAAATATACATAATATTATTTGCTCTTTTTTAAAACTTCCAGCACACTTGGGGTAAGTGTAATGGTTAAAATGGAACAAATTCTTCGTTCCTCTATAAGCAATCATCCAGAAGGATTGGTTGCTTTCAGAGAGCTTCAAATGAGGGCAATAAGTGCTATCCTACACTACTTTCAGCCTTACTATCTCTGAACCAACCTACTTTTCAGAACGTCCTGCTTCCCAGGAGGAAATTGATTTGAAAAATATAAGGAAATCTAGACAGACAGCATCCAAGAGGAAAGGGGAAGAAGCTGTTAGCAATGGGAAAGCATATTGGCATAAAACACTTGTGAATGAGATGAAATTGATGCTCAATGCACATTCCGTAGCACTTTAGAAAGGATTGCGTGGATGTTATCCCTAATGATGCATTGAATTTTCATCTGGCCACTAAAATCAGAGAAATTCCTACTCTATGTTTCTTTTGTTGCCTTCCTAAAAGCTGCTTGTATGGTGGTTATGTTAAATGCTTTTCAGCGATAATGAATTTTTAACGGTAAGTACTATAGTACTTACACGTACATACACCAGATTATGTTGGTATCATCTAGAATTAAAAATGTTTTTCTAAGGGCAACCTGGCTTTAGATGCTTAGCTCAGAACATAGCTTTAAAATGGTAACTGTCTTGTAAAACTGGAAAAAAACAGTGAAAAAGTTTTCAAAGAGTATGGCCTTGACTGTCTCTGTGAAGCTGAATGAAGAATATTAAAAAGCTTACCTATCTGTATGAGTCCATCTTAAGTCAGAGCTATCAGCATCCATTCCCATAAAATTCATCTTTAGACTACAGAATGACTTTAAAAACCCTGTTAAAATGACATCAGGGATTTCATGTTAATTATTTTCTCTTCTCAAGATTTATGCATAGAATTTTTTTGCTTACTGATAACAATTTTCTGCTGTGTCAGGTCTTCATGTTAAGCCTAGAATTGGAAATCCATCCTACTGTCTGGCTAGTGTACCTCCATCACCAAAAATAAGAATTTTGCTACATCTGTTGTATGGCTAATTAAATGTATGCTAAGCTACATGCATTTGCTGTAGTGGAATTCCAGAGTAACTGAGCAAGACTGCAAACTCAGTTAACAGTTCTGCTGTTAATATATGACCCAGAACAGAAGCTTGGTCAGTTTTCCATAATTCTAAGAAAAAGTGTTGAGGTTCCAGCTTTCCTAGAAGTCAAATTCAAGTTTTGGCAGACCCACTGGCCCCAGTGTCAAACTTTCAGATCAGAAGGTTGAGCCAGTGAGGACCTTGGACTCCAGGGAGAGAGATTCTTAGGTAAAAGTAAGTTCATCTGCAGATAAGATGTCACATCCATAAATCAGAGTGTGACTAACTTCCTTGTTAGGCAAATCCCAGTTTATATATAGAACTGACATTATGTTGTTTGCGTTTTCTGGTTGAGTGACTTGAACACTCCCCCATTTTTCTTTAGACAAAATTGGAAGATATTGCTTTTAGCAGCATTTTCGAATGGTCTCATAGGTTATACTGCTTTTACTTCCATCAGAAAGGTGAATTGGAAAAATTTGTTCTTTTCAGTTGGCTTGCAGATAAAAAAACGGAAGAATTAAAATGAGCCTGGCTAAAGGGACAGACTAGACTTTGTTACTGGAATGGAAGAATGAATTTATGCTTTAGTACTGTAGAAATAATATGTGTCCTTCTCTGCTGTAATACATGCTGTAATATCTGCTCTTTAAACAGAAATGTAAAAGTACAATTACAAGGTGCCTCCAGAAGTGCTTTGCAGCAGAGTTGCTCCCTATCTCCATGTGTGTGTATACTTTTAAAATACACAGTGTGCCAGGAGCGAAAACACAGTACTTTGGCCACAGCAGAGTTTCTTCATTACACATTCTTACTGTGCTAGTCTTGAAAATTTAGATTCCTCTTGCATTCCAATCAGTATGAATACTAAAGTCCTTTTTACTTTTGGAATTTGATACTTTGTCCTCTTACCATTGTTTTAATATTTAAGAAAAAATGGGAGGAGCAAGCTGCTCCTTAGTGTCAGATATTTGTACATTATAGTAAAAAGGAAGATGCTGTCTTTGAAAAGAAATTCTAATTTCAAATATTCTCTGTACTTATTGAACATTTTTAATCTGGCTTTCCAATTGTTTTTTTCAGATAAATCAAGATGCACAGATTCTGCTGTAAATGCAGCAGCTGCCCAAGAGCTTTTGCAGTATCTTGAATCTCGCACCATCTCTTCCTCAGATGTGACACTTCTACATCGGTTGAAATCCCTTGTATTGCTACAGGATATTGAGAGATTGAAGGATGCTTTGAAACAGTTCCAAGAACAATCCATGATGCCTCCTGGTAGGTACCCATTCACTTACATTCATTCTCTGATGTTCTTTATTGTGTGGATTAAAATCCAGATTTGTCCAGTTGGTTGTTTTTTTATTAAGAAGCTATAAGTAGTTACATAGTGGTAAATATATGCTTATACAAGATCTGAAAGCATAATTCCCAGTGAAAATACAATGAGATTCACTGTTTCTTGTTTGGTTATAATCAGTATAGAAACTTTTCATACTTTGCAGCAGCTATAGATTACAAAATTATTCAGGTTCTTAAAACAATATTTTTAAAGTTGTAATTGTTTTACATTCTCTTTGGACTTTTTAAATCACAGGAATTAACTTGTTTATCTTGGAGATTTCACTCATCCAGTTAAACATTAATTTTCCATGCATAAGAATCAATAAAGCTCATCATTTCATCTTGGTCACCTACGTGGCTTCTTTAACACATCAATTTTGCATGCCAAAGTTTGATTTACAGATTTAGTTTTGTTTAAATACGAACTTCTGGTTTAAGTTTCTAAAAAATTTGATTATGTAAAAACATAAAGTCACTCTTTATAAAAAATACTTTAGAAAGTCATTCATAAAAAGAAAAATTATTCAGTTACTAAATCTTTTCATCCCTGAGGCACAAGTCTGATTTCACTCATGCTTCTTTTGTTCTCTATTACAACCCCTATAATTTTAGTAGAATTTCTTCTTGGATGGTTAATAGTTCCTCAAGTGAATGTGGGATCAGCACATGGTGCATTGAAGGTATAACAATTCATTTTACAAATAGTCTTCGTTTAAAAAGTCACTGTTGCTTGTCATTAGCACTTTTGTTGCAGCATCAGACAAATCTATAGATGTGCTGAATTGTCTTGACTCCCAAAGAATTTAATCACAGTTGAGAGCACTTGCTATGGCATGAGGGAATCTCAACCATTTTAGATTGCGACCAAGTCTTTTGACAAGTAATGACTGAGCTGGTAGTAGTGTGGCAACAGAGTAAATATAACCATAGCCATCAGATGCTTAGCAGTAACATTCAAAGAGACTGCTGCTTGCAATATCATTAAATAATTTACTGATACTGGCTAAAGATCCCAGTCAGAACTGGAGCCTACTACATGCTGTGCGTTGTGAAGACAGAAAAGAGAGAATTCCTGCCTGTAGCATTAATCATAGCTGATCACATTTCACATTTTGAAAAGGACACTTTTACAGAAGTGCATATGTATTCTTTAAAATGCTGATATGGAGTATGACAACCCTTGAGGTTCTGATTGATAGATCTGAAATATCCACAGATACATGGACCAAAATCCTTCTGTGCATTCAATAATTAATTTCAAGCCTAGATTCTATGATCTTAATTATAATCAGATAGTCTCATTGGATCTAATACACATTTGCGAACTAAGTAGGACTCATCAGGTCCTTTATTAAATGACCTAATTCAGCTTCTGTCGATTAAATCAAAATGGAACTATTGAAGTCACCACATTCAGGATATTCTTTACAGGTGCTATCCAAATTCTGCTCAATACAGTGGGAATATTGTTTAGCTTTGCAGCCTTGAGGCAAGCTGCTCTGTTTCCTTTAATATAGCAAAACATGTCAAACTGAAGAGAGAAAAGGAAACAAGAAAATTAGAAACAAATCCATGCAACTACCCTAATTTTTTTATGTATACGTCTCTTGAAAAGTAAAAGACAATTTTCTGAGTGACTGTCCTGCTGACAACTAAGTACCACACAGCTGCTTGCTCACTCCCCCCAGAAAAATGTAAACCCAATGGTTGAGATGAGAACAGTTTAGTAATGGAAACCAAATAAAATATAATAATAATAGGAAAAAAGAGAGAGGAATAAAACCCAATTACCCCAAGTGATGGACAATACAGTTCCTCACTACCTGCTGACCAATACCCAGCCCAACCCAGGCAGCAGTTGGTCCCTTCTGGGTGGCTCCCCCCAGTTTATACACTGAGCATGTGTTGTGGTTTAAGCCCAGCTGGCAACCCAGAACCACACAGCTGCTTGCTCATTCTCCCCCTTATCTCCCCCCACTCCCGGAGAAATGGGGATGAGAATCGAAAGATATCGAATACCCTTTTGGCTAGTCTGGGCAGGGTGTTCTGTGTCTGCTTCCTCACAGCTTCTTGTTCCCCTCCCCACTGGCAGAGCATGAAACTGAAAAGTCCTTGATCAGGGTAAACATTACGTAGCAACAACTAAAACATCAGTGTGTTATCAGCATTATTCTCAGACCAAAGTTGAAAACACAGCACTGCACCAGCTACTGGGAAGAAAAATTACTGTCCCAGACAAAACCAGAACAGTGATTTTTAAAATTTCTCCATGTTTTTGATAATACAGCCTGAAGTAGTTACTCTTCCATTTGACTTTTTTTCCTTAGGAACCGTTGTCACTCCAGACTCAGTTCTAATTCATTCCAAGTTCATGGTGTTGTAACAGTAGTAGTTGATTTGATATTCATGAGATACAACAACATAAGAAAGAGGAAAATACATTGATATAAATTATTAAAGGATATTTAAACACCTGGTAGATAATAATTTGCCTCAGCAGAGTTTAACAGTGCATTCTATTTGTAATTCTTTAATTCCAGTGAATGAGAACATAGTGCTCTCAAATTTTACCATGAATAAGGCTTTTAATTATCCTTTTTTTCCCTAATTTTGGCTCAAAAATAGGTCATCTTGCCCTTTTTTTTTTTTTAAACTTTAAATTTCATTCCCAGTGATCAGGTGATAAAAGAGTTATTACAAAAACTTGTTGTCTCAGCAAATTCAAGTTCTTATTATAGAAATACAGGTTAGGGCTGTTTATAAAGATGTACAGTCCACTATAGTAATCTATTTTCTATTTTACAAGTTTTTCTGATTATCTTGCCTTTTTCCTGATTTGTTTGTTTTTACTGGGGCATGACGTACTGGAAGAAAAGGTCATTTCTTATTAGCATGATGGAAAGAAAACAATTTTTCTTAATTTTAGCAAGGTGTATTTTTACAAAAGAAACCTATTTTCTTCCTGGTAGTTCAAGGAGCATTATGTTAACCCTTTTTCCCATGATTATGATTCTACTCTAAGATACCAGCATGAAAGGCATAATGGGTGTTATGTTTTGCTCAGTTTTATTTTTAATTCAAGGAAGGAAAGAGTAGGAGAAAAATGAGATGTGATCTCTCCCTTTCGTATAAGTGTACATTTTCCATTAGTAAACTTCACAAAGTTAACATACCATTATATGTCTTTTATTTCCTCATATATAAATAAATATATATATATATATACATATATATATATAAAAAAATATATGAGCAGCCAAGTCTTACTTGGGCGGTAGGCAGTTTGACAAGTTAATGCCTGCTGTTGATGAATTTGCTTTTCTTAGCAACTTTTTACAGACCCTTTAGAGTAAAGCTATGGGCTGCCCAAGGTCTGCAGACCACAAATTGAAAAACACTGTTTCAAGATCATGCTTTGGTATTTCCTTCACACCTATTAGCATGTTACTCATATTGGGAATCATGGTTCAACCAAAAGAAACAATGAAGAAAAAAGTTTCTTTTTTGTCTTAAGCTCCTACATCCCAATATGTGCAGTCAGATCAAATAAAGGTCAAACAAGGTTGGTGGTAGGGTCTGAAAGTAGGAAGAGAAAAACCCCAAGGAGATTAAAACAGACTGTAAAAAGGAACAAAATGTCGTATTACTATTTCCATTTATTTGGTGGTCTTTAACAAAAGGTACTTACCACTACCTAAAGTCTTCTGGAAGTGCAGGGAAGAGAATGTTTAGAAGTCAAATAGGCACACATTTCTTGAGATGGGGGCTTGGCTGATCTCTGTCAGAAAGTTAGTGGCCATTTGCAAAAGGAAGCCAGAGACCTTCATGATCCTGCACAGTGCAGTGAGCAGAGGAGAAGAGCTGTCATTGGAAGTAATGCTCCATTTGCTGGTTGGAAACTGTATCTTTTGAAATGAGGGCTACTTAATTCCCATTTCACATCAATTATTAAAGCATAGGTGATCACCTAATTAAAAAAAAAAGTCATTACCTCCTATTTATTAACTCATTCAGCTTCTACTCATCGACTTAATTCCATTATCCATTAACATTTTCCCTTTGTTGGTTAGTATCAAGTCTCAGATATACTCTTCCCTTGTTGCCTAGGAAATTATCACTCACAGAAGAGCTAGAAGCTTCTTTTAACTCCCTTTTTTAGGAGGCTTGTCCTTTATATATATATCTCCATTGTGGGGAGTGAGGGGGTACATTTGCAGACCGGAAGTAATACGGTCACTGTGTACTAACAATGCACAGGTCCTAAAATTATTAAATTTATACTTTTTCCTTTTTTTTTTAAATTTTGAATGAACATTCAAAGAAAAGGAAATTAACTGTGAAAGCTATATTAGCATAACATTACAGAATCATCTTAAATGTGATATTATGTGATAAGTACTGTAGAAAGTCCTGTCCTTAAAAATAAATAAAGTCACATAGATAATCTCTGAATTAAGAAACCATGGCATTTTGAGGTTTTAATGCAGCTGTCTGTACAAGACAACTCATTCTCAACTGGGCCTTCTGAGTGCTATTGTAAGTGAAATAGTAATGTGTGAAATTACTCTGCAGACAGAAAGGAGTGGAGAAGATTGCACTCTTTAGCCTTACCGATATGATCATGCCATTTGGATCTCCTTTTTTTAATGAATTATTGAATCATACAAATAGGACATTGCAAAATAGAACCAAAATAATTTTCTATACAAGTAACTGACCTCCTAAAAGAAAATGTACCTTTTATCTAGAAATTCATATGTATTAGCCTTTAAGCTCCAATATCTGCATTGGTTTTACTAAAATGCTAATATGGAATGGAAACAGATGTTCATACAGGTCTTTAATGTTCAGAAATGTTGTAAAGGTATTTCAGAAGGAATGTGTTTTCTTTGTTTCAGATCATACCGTGATAATCACGTCTCTGTTTCACTACTGGATTACAGATATCCTTCCTGTGAAGAACAGGAAATAAACCCTTGCCTGTGTCCATATGCACTGGGTTAAAATTTAATATACAAACTCTTAACCAAGTAGCAATTGTTCAGGAAGAGCAATGTCAATGCACATTCTACACCTTCAGGTAAATAAATTATTCTTCTGTGTTACAAACTCCAGAAGACAATAAACAGGGTATAACTAAATGTGATTTTTGATGGTTGGTCAAGAGTATGCATGTTGTCTGTCTTGAGTCTTCAGCTGGATTACTATGTACATTTCACTTTAAGATAAGGGACTTAGATGGAATGATAAAGTCTGTATCAAGTACTTTGTTTAAAAGTGTAGTGTTTTTTTGTTGTTCATAAATTGATTGTTTCTGGAGATTTTATTTCTTGACTTTTCTTGTTTATCTGATATATCTGTTTATCTGAAAAACAAAAATATATTTTTATATTAAAATCTAAGCAACAATACATCTGTGGAATCCATTTTTACTGCACAAACAACTAAATTATGGAAATAAATCCATTTTTACATGGGAGTCATGTAGGAACTCTTTGGAATTATGCAGAAACTTGAATGGCATTTTCAGAAATACTCCATGTCCCAGTCTGTTACAATGAAATGTGCTTCACTGACTGCAGAATTATGGGTCTCGGTTCTCTTACTGATCATTTTTCAGTCTTTCTGCAACTGAATTTATCCATGTGTAGACGATACGGTAAATAATATCCATGGGTGTAAAATGTTTTGAAATCCTGAATTAAAAAATGCTTCATGAGAGGCTCTTCTCTCAGCTGAGTCATTCACCTGATAGGTGGTACAAAGCAAACCATTTCTCATACCTCTGTCTTAGTTTCCTTATGAATAGGATAGGAGCAACGTATTTATCTCCTTCAACATATGCTTCAACAAGACTATATAAATATATATTTATATATATATGGCTTTTTTGCTTTGGGTTTTTTTTTCATTATTATATTCAGTGATATATTCTATTCCAAAGCATTGTTTTTAGTGATGGCCAAAAACATGTAAGAAAAACACAATCATACATCTTTCTCATTAATTCAAGAAGTTAAAAGGGGTTCAGTAACATGCTAAAGGATTGCAGGTACAGAAAAAGTGGTCTTAGGTGTGGCTAAGGCAGCTGTGTGCAACTCTGGAGAACTTGGTTTGTATCTGCTAGGAAAGATATTTAAAACAGACTTTGCAGAGGGGAAACTAATGGTGTGTTCCCAGTTTTAATGCTCCTGACTTGCTAACACATAGGCACTGAACTGTAGCTGTGACGTTTCACTGAGATGCTGTGTATGTCAGTCCTACATCTGGAGAAAGAAGAACATGCCACTTGAATGTTAAGCACTTAGGTATTCTATTGACAGACCCCACAGGAAGTTAATAATTTCATCCTCAGATTAAAGTTTGAACATCCTGCAGTAGATAAGGCCTAGGAACTGCACAAACAGGATATACTTGTTAGGTAAGCAGCATCTGTCGTATACAATGGGTATGAAAAAATAAATGAGAACATCTAATTAAACAGTATTTTGAAACACAAATACAAATTAGGTCAAATTGGAACCATACAAACAGCTATAGTACCTGTATTTCATGATACTCAAGTGACTGCTGAGGAACGCTATAATGTGGACCCCAGGACCTAGGGATTCTTCCTCCATGTCCTCTAAATCCCAGGCTGGTGCACCTGGACACCGGGATGTCTCTCTGTCCCACACCAGTGGAAGAAACTACAGCTTTCATGTTTCCAGGTTCAGGCTATAGTGATGCTTACCACATGAGCAAGGACACATACACGACACTCACATGGCTGACTAGACAGTCTGCCCCAGGCAGGGCACCACCTTTAACACCACCCATGAGTAACCCTGACAGGACTACAAGTAGTCATCTTCTCTGGCTGACTGGAATTGAAGTTCATGAGTGAAAACACTTATGCCCTTCACTTCCTGGAATCGCAAGCTTACCATTCACAGATCCCTTAAATACCAACACAGGCCACCAGCCTTTCTCATATCCCTGCCTGGATCCTGGGCCCTCTTACCTGCCCTACAGATCTCCTGCTCACTAACTAATCCAGCCTAACACAGGCTATCACACGTTCACACACTCATCTCACAAGTACTCATGCACTTGTCTCACAGCTTTGTTTACTGCCTTAATTTCTCTATGATTCTGTTTCAGTGCTTGGACATTTCATATAATATTGAAGTGAATTTTAAAATTATTCTGAATTTTACATAGCTGTATACAGAAGAGCAGATTTGGGTATCCTTGACAAATGGAAATATTTTGTACTATCAGTAGTCTAATCTCAGGCTGTAAGTAAAATTTCTCACGTCAATATACTTTGCTTGAATTGGCTAATAATGGGGAAAAGATTGCTTTCAGACTCTCTTCTTTCCATTCACTTAATCCACTGTAAGAGCCTTATATTCTGTGTGTAGAAATCAGCTGGTCATAACAAAGAAAGCCTGGGAACAGTTTCAGAACGTAACTAGAGTCAGTGATATCTGATGTCTTTGTAAATGACCTGCGATAGAAGCTGAATCTTACACTTATCAAACCTGCCACTATTACACTAAGAGGGATTATAAAGAGCAGAGGATAAAGTAAAATCTGAGATGTTGGGGAGTTTAGAAAATTGGACCAAATTCAAGCATATAAATTGTAGATTGTCATTGTAGATAAATGCAGTTGCATAAGAGTGCATTTGTTTCTGAAACAAATGTACCAAACAGCGGTGTGCTGAACTGCAATGTGCGTATAAGGACACTTAGGCAAGACACAAAAGAACACAGCAGAAAGATGTAGTTTAAAAGCAAAAGAAATGGACATTACTCGTCCTATAATAATAATATCAATTAGGCAGTGTACTAAAAATGGCAAGAGGGGAGGATTGTTTGGTTTGGTGTTTAACATCCTATTTAAAGTCAAAAAGATTTCAAACACCAGAGTTTTAATGCCAGGCCACTTTTCTGTGCTTCCTCTCTCAAAGAAATGGTGCTGAATCTCCCTACACGTTTTATGATTTATTTGAGAAGTGATGTAACCATAATGGCTGGGATATGAAAACTGAAAAATTTAAATTAATATCCATCAGTGAACACAGTGTGTTTTCCATTTCACTATACATGGCTTCTTCAGCACAGCAATTAAACATTTATCACTTTGGATTTTCATGCTAAACTTCTAAATGGCAAAGGAGATGGCTTTACGGTTTTCCTTCTTCCGCATTATCCAGTCTAATGAATGTGCAGTGTCATGTGGAATTTCTGAGGCATGGGAGAGGGGTTTTTAGTGGACTTTGCATCAGAGAACTTCAGACTAAACTGTATCATGTACATGCTGTTACCAGCATATTTCAAACTTCTGGGAAGATAGAATTTTAAAATCTTGGCTTTAAAACATACATGGGCTCTAACAGTAGGAAGAATGTAAGGATCAGCTAGAAAGAAGCCTGCATGTGGCTTCAAGAGTTCACTTTCTGGTTTGCATAATTAAGCATTACACAGTAAGGAAGGAATAGCAGCACAGTGGGAAAGAAATCAGGGTCTGAGGAGGTGATGGTTCCTTTACCTGGGGTGCATACACAAAGACAACCACAGATGCTGAAGTTGTTTTGGGCATCTGTAGTCATGAAATGCTTGTATATAAGGGTGTGAGTTCAAAGCCATCTCTGTAAATAGGTACATGGTAAGAAAGACCTTAATTCTTCCCTTTTGTGGATATGTAATGTGGGAATCAGTCCCTAATGTTTAAAGATTTTTACTTCTTTGTAGGTGGTGCAATATTTCATATAGTATTTTAACTATCATGTAGAGTTATAAATTCCTTAATGTGCTTTCTATGACAGCTGTTTTTTCTCCCCTGCGCCAGTGCAAGGGGCTGCTATTCAGTAGACTGAAACTCTAAAATGGCATCTGGAAAAAAAAAAAAAAAAAGACTTAAAAGACAAGGAAGTAAAAAATTGGTGAGTGGCAGCATGAAGGCAGGAAATGGTTAAGCTGTCTTTGATCAGAGAAAACATATTTCACCCAGTACCATCTGCTATATCATAAAAGCAGTCCGCAGACATAGAGTGGAAAGTGATGTGTGTTATGCTGGTACAGTATGCTACAGGCTAAGTATAATAACAAAAAGTGGTAATGAAAAAAACCCAGCAAAATGTAACACTGGAAAAATACATTCTATTGAATATTTAGGCCAACCTCAGGTTATAGCTAGGTAGATTTTGTGATGAATTGCTTCATCCCTAGATTGCACCTATGGAGAGCTGCATTGCACATGTTTGTGCAGTTAATTTAGCTTCACTGGTAACTACTTTATCTTCTGCATTGCATCTAAGTAAATTTTGTTGAATGGGCTAATTATAAAGTCTCAGTATTTCACAATTTCAATACACGTTTTTCTTAGATGAAAAAAATTGTATTTTTAAACTGGTAGATATATACTGAACTAAACCTTGGGGGGAAAACACTATATATATAAAGTATAAAATATAAAGGAAAAGCAGAAAATTACAAATGCTTATATCATTCCTATCTCTTAACAATCTAGGAAAAAACTTTATATTCTGTGGTCATTTGAAAACAATGTATATGCACCAGAGTCAGTCAAGGTCATTCTTCAAGTACATGCTTAACTTTGTAGAATTACTAGTTTGTAGTCATTTTAATGAGCTGTATACATTTGCAAAATAAATAAGAAAGCTGTAGCTCTCTTCTACATTACTACTGCAATGCTACATCCTGGTTTAGAATACAGAATAAATAAATAAATAAATGTTATTTAAAAACGATTGAGGGGGACTACACAAAAATAGAAAAGGAATGGATCTGTGGTTCAAAAGCTTCTTTTATTTTGCATCAACTCTAGGTCGCCTAAGGTTCCATCAACTACAGACTGCTTTTCTTTACTTTCAAGATCTTGGCCAGTCTTCTTAGTCCCTCAGTCAGTGCACAGGTGATTCCTCCATCCTCTCAGCCTGTGGTACTAGATTCCATCACCCATTTGCCACATTTTCAGATTAACACATTTCTGCTTTTTCCCACAGCATTCTGCAGAGCAGTCTTGCTATTGTTTTCCTTTCATTTTTAAAATTCTCCTATGCCATGATGCTGCCCAGAAGCTTGGCAACAGCTAGGTCAGTAGTGTGATAAAACAACTGCCTACTCTGCTGACTAATGGTGCCTTATTGTATCTGGGTACTCCCACATCAATCTGCCTACTTTCTCATCTGTTTTCTCCCTTTTTAAACTAGTAGCAATCTGATGCAGGGTTTGGCCTGCTGCACAGCACCCAACACAACGAATTTCTATTACATCTGAGGTGCCAGTGCATTATGGGAGCGTAATAGACTTAACTATAATCAAAATACGATAGAATATGTAAGCAAAGCTGCTGATTAGTTAAAAATGGCATAATAATTTTACATTGCATGCATGATCAGTCTGGTAAAACAGGGACCTGGTTCTCCATAGTAGACGCTTTGGTGGAGGCAGTGTTCATCTGCCTAAGGAGAGCTTGGAAACATGCAGGGTGGGATTAATTTCTCCTAACTTCAGATGTCTACAGTGTAGATTTTTCCATCTGAGCTGCCTAAAGAACGTTATAGTCACTGGGATGAAATAGATACTTGTACAGCCCAATAAAACTGACTGCTTCTAGACATCTGTTTTAGGGTAAGAACAACAGTATATATAGAAGAACTTGCATATTTGACTGTTATGGGAGCATAAACAGGTAAGTGAGAAACATCTGCATTGCAGGCATCTGGATCTTGTAAAAAAAAAAAAGAAAAATCATTTACTGCATTTGAGAAAGGGAAAGGAAAGTATGTGTTGCACGACCAAAACATTGCCTGCTTCTGGTGCTGATCTGGCAGTGGCAAGCAACTTTGACAGGGATATGACCCCGCTCTCCTAGCTGCTTTCATATTTACTGTTGGGAAGCCATTGCCTGGGACTGGTAAAAGGGAGAAGGAGAAGAGTAAGGAGCTGTTGTACAGATATGCTTGGAACTCACACAACAGTCTGAGGAGGTGCTTCTCCCACTCTTCCTCCTGTTCCCTTCTTGCGATCATGCACAAAGTGGCCTCCAGTATTTCACAGAAGACTCAGTAAAAGATTGCTGTGTGATTTATTCCTCCTCCAAGTCACAATAATGAAGTGGAAGTGAATGTAAATGCACAGAGGAGTAACCATTGCTAGGAGTATCAAACTGATTACCCATTACCTGTGTTCTAGAGAGTAAATCAATAGCAAATAAATTTTTTACAGAATCACAGGGGTAATCACCTAACTCTCTAGCCATAATGATAACTGTTCGATCTCTGTCTGGCATGTTGGAGCTTAAAATGAAGGTCCTGTTCAAATCTGATTGGAATTCAGAGAAGGCGTCTTAGCTTATTACCATTACTATAGTGCTGGATTCTATTTACATTGGCAAACAGTTTAAAATACTTGACATGTTATTCAATTAAACCTGTGATTGCTAACTGACAGACCAAAGTGCAATGATTTTTCCAACCACATTAAGCTAAGTACGTGGCACAGTGTTTCATTAGCCTGTCTGCTTAACCCTTTCACATTAACTCAATTACCCAGTATAAAATTAATGTGTAAAATATAAATAACTCTAAATTTCTAAATTAGAAGGCATTGCAAGAATATATTCATCTTGATAGTTTCTGACACATATTTATTACTGGATGATTTACCATCTGCTATGGATCACATTATTCAGATGGCAAAAATTACTCAGAAGTTTTTTTTCCTTTGTACTCCCTCAGTAAATTGATAGATTCATAGAGGATAAGACTAAAAAGGACATGAGATTATCTTCTCTGACCCCATGTAGGTCCCTGGTCATAAATTTTCCTTTTACTTCAGGGTGAAGACCAGTAACTTCAGTCTGACAAAAGCACAATTTGTGGGTTTTGCTAAAGCAAGTCTTCTGCAGAGACAGGCAAGCTTAATTTAAAGACATCGAGGAGGGAAGACTTAGCCCCCTTCTCTGATCATCTATTCCAGTACTCAATCACTCTCATGGTTAGAAATACATGCCTTATTTTAAATTTGAATTTGTCTAGATTTAACTTTCAGTCATTAGTTCTTGGTGTGCTTTTCTTCATCCACTATTTTCTGTCTGTGAAAGCTTTGTGAATGCTGCATCAATCATAGAACAGAATAAAATAGGATGGAGAAGACCTTTAAGGTCATCAAGTCCAACCATTACCCCAGAACTGCCAAGTCCACCACTAAACCATGTCACTAAGGGCCTGACCTACATGATTTTCAAACACTTCCAGGGATGGTGATTCTACTGCTTCCCTGGGCAGCCTGTTCCAATGCCTGACTAGCCTTTCAGTGAAGAAATTTTTCCTAATACCCACTATAAACCTTCCCTGGCACAGCTTGAGACCATTACCTGTTGTCCTATTGCTTGTTAATTGGCAAAAGGGACCAGCCACCTCCTCTTTCCACCCTCCTTTCAGGTAGTTGAAGTGAGTAATAGGATCCCCCATGAGCCTTCTCTTCTCCAGATTGAGCACCACCAGTTCCCGCAGCTGTTCCTCGTAAGACTTGTGCTCTAGGCCCTTGACCAGCTATAATGTAACCTCCTTTTTGCTACTGTAAACCTTTAAAGTTTTTTTATTTAAGGCATTTTCTACAGCCTCTAAATTGGTTTTGTGGCTCTCTTGTACATTCTGTCATTTTTTTCCACACCACTTAGAGGTAAGTATGCTGGAACTACCCATAGAACTTCATTTAAAATCTCAGCAGTGTCAGCTTTTGTACTCACTACTCCATTGTTTGTGGGTCCACTATAAGCCATAGTTTTTTATAGGGAGTCCATCTTGAATTATTTGTCACAGTAAACAAGTACTCTTGAAGTCTTTTGCTTTCTAGGGTTTATTCTCTGGTTCCATACTTCTTGTTCTTAAATGTCACTTTGTGTTTGACCATATTAATGTCAATTTTCTTTGCCTGTGTCTAGATTAGTAAATTGATACAGAGAAAACTCCAGGAACAAACTTCCCAACAAAGTTTTCAAGCTGACAAGCAGGTATCCTTTATTGCAGCACTGGGACACATGGGGGATAGCTTCTCCTAATGTGTGTCTCCCCATTGCCACACAAGCCGTCCTTTTATAGCCAGTGGGCATACGTACATATTCATGAGGCTACGTATGGACTGCATAATTTTCCAGAAAGTTCCCCGCCTGCGTACAGAATTGTGGTGGTGGTCTCTGAGGGTCGTTTACTTCTTCCAACAATCTTCATCACTTCTGGCAGCCTTTGAAGCATGCGCAGTAGATGCTCATACCAGTTTAATTGGTTCGTTAGCACCAGAGACATAATAATCCTCCTATCCTCCTACTTATCAGTTAGTTTAACTGTAGCCCATCCTGGACACCTGCAGTTCCTGGACACTCCTTATCCCTGTGTCCTGTTTCTTCTAGACTGTTTTTCTTAAACTATGTCACAACTATAACGATTTATCTTGTGAGAATTCTCAGTATGTTCTCTAGCTGTACTCTATTTTTTTTCTCTATGTATCATGCACCTCAGTAATTTTCCATTGCTACTGTTACAAAGCCATCAAACTTAACATTACTTAAATCTAATTCTAAAGGTTTCTATATTCCATTTTGTGATTTTGTGCCCCCTTGTTTCAGTAAATGATGGATTATGTTGTGTGCCTGTACTGCTCACATTGATATTGACTATCTGCTAATCTTGGTGTCATCTGCAAATTTTACTAGCAATGATTCTATGTTTACTTGCAGATCATTACTAAAAATGCTGAATGATGTCAAGTACTAGTACTAATCTTTATGGGATCCAAAGAGAAATAGCATCATTCAGTCATGATTCCCTATTTATACTTCCTTTTTGGAAAGAGAAAATTGAGATAATCTAGTGGATTACTAATGTATTTAACAGGTACTTCATTGTCTTCCATGCTGGTTTTGTTTTGATCAGAAGGTTGTAGCGCTAGGTGACTTCACATGAATCTAAATAGCACAAGGTGTAATGGTTATCTGCTGCTGTCAACAAGTATTTCTTCAGTTTTCTACAAGAACAAACTTTAAATTTTTTAGGTATGGATAAGAGCCCAAACTAAATACACTGTACAAAAAACTATAGAATTGTATTTTGGAGTATGTGTAAGGGGAAACAGAATAATTGAAAAGTATTCAAAGTAAACAACCTCTCAAGATTTGTCTTGTGTGTTTTCAATTTGTTGCATGCAGGGAATGATTGGCATCAGTTAAAATAATTGTTGCAAAAGATTCCTTATTTTAAACATCAAAGGAAGTTCTTACTTCTTTCTTTTCCTGCAAGCTGTGCTCCATAACCTTAACAACTAAGGTGCTTAGTGTGTCCTTTTCTGTTGTGTTGTATTCCAGCCACTAATGGAAAATCATTGCAATAAGTTCATTGACTACTGATGAAAAAAAAGAACAGGTTAGAGACTTAGAAGTTTACTTGGGAAGTTGCATTCGCAGTTTTACAGTGGGATATGTAAATTTTCAAGTTTTTACAGAAGCACTTCTCTCGGCAGATTTCCAGGCCAAAGCACAGGCATGTTCACTCTCAATATCAACTGTAACTGTCTAAACCCTGAGCTATTGCTGGAGACCAGTGAAAGGATTTGTCAGCAATATTAAGCAAATTTCAGTCTAATCTCCCAATTTCTGCTGCTAGTGGAGTGCCAGCTTGCAGTCGGTATCATGCAGGCAGTGATAGCATTTCCGTTGGAGCTAGAAAT